GGGTAATTCTTCATTTAGTTATCTCCAATCAGTCACTAAGTCCTGATTCCACCCACATCTCCAGCTTCTCCCACACCCTGGTCTGAGCTGCCGTCTCACACCCTGCAACAGCCTCTCAACAGGTTTCTGGTGTCAATTCTAGTACCCTCCTATCACAGCAAAGTGACTGCTTCCAAACAAAATACCTAGTCATGTCGCTCACAGATTTAAATCCCTCTGGTGTCTGCCCATTGGTGTTAAGATAAAATCTGGAGTTCTTGATTAAAATGGCTCACAAGGGCTGGCATCGTGCTGGCCTCTGCCTTATTCTCAGCTCTTATTTCCTTCCATTTTCCCCTTGCTCTGGGCTGCAGCATCTCAGCCCTTTGAGATGGCAGATTCCCCCTCATTCCGGAGGCTTTGCATGTGCTTCTCTCTGTGCCTGGACATCCACTCACCTCCCCTTAACCTAGCCAATACTTGCTCTCCTCCGATCTCAGCTTCAGTTCTCCCCGATCTCCCACCCTAGTCTGATACTCCCATTTGATATTCATGAGAACTTTGCACACCTCCTTTACAGCATTTGATCACAACTACATAATTACTTGCCTAATGTCCCACCTGCTTGCAACACTGTGAGATTCATAAGGGCAGGATGGTGGCTAGCGAACATTCACTGAGCACTCCTACGTGCCAGGCACTGTTTTATGTGCTTTACATGGATGATCTCATTTCTTCTCATCACAGCCCTACTGGGTAGGTGCTATTGTTATCCCCATTTTGCACAAAAAGTAGTTGCGGCCCAGATAGGTAAAGCAATTTGCCCATGGTCACACAGCTCCAAAATGTCAGATACTATGATTATTTCTGCAATGGGCCAGCCACGAACTCCAGCTCCCCCAGTGGCCACCCCAAGTTGATCTTAAGTTCATCTGAGGATCCTGCAAATGCCCTGTGAAAGTCAACCGCCTACATAATCTAAGAGGTTTGTTAGCCTTGCATTCAAAGCCTTCCCACTGCATCCTTTAGAAATGCGTTTATAAGGATATTGCTGTAAGCATTGAGCCTAAAAAGCATCTTGATTTTTTTTTAACTTCTTCCTTCCTTTCTTTGTTTGGTCTGGCATTAATTTAATCAATAGAGCTCTCTAATTCAAACTCAAAGAGCTCTTAATTAGCATGTCTGACCTAGTCTCAAAAGCAGATCTCCAGTGGAAGATGAACTTTTGAGACTGCAGCTGATAAGCAAAGGTAACAGAGACAGTATACAGTGGTGGTTAAGGGCACAGGTTATTGCATTTGCAGACCAGGTTTGAGTTCAAATTCTACCTTCAAGAACCACTGACACATTTTTTTAACCTTTCAGAGCCTCAGTTGCCCCATTTGTAAAGTGGGTTAACAATAGAACCTACTGAATAGTGTTGTTGAAAAGACTTGGTCTGGGACCTAGGAAGGGCACCGTTAAATATAATATAAAACAAAATCTTCATGCAGGAACCTGTGTTCCATGGGACATTTTTAACCTCCTCCTCATGCCTAAAGACGCAGACGTGTTTGCAGGCATCTGGTCTCCAGCCCATCCAGCAGCGGACGTGCTGGGAGTCAGGCCAGGGGGCCTGTTGGGGTGATATTGTTCAGGCCTTCAAGATCCCAGGAGTTTGGATGGGCTTCAGGTAAGTCTGGAAGTCAGGCCTCACCCAGGTCAGGTTTCCAGATTCATACTTAAACCAATGACAGCTCTTCTCTCCTTCAAAATGCAAGATTCGTAAATGTCAAATAGTCAAACCATGTTACTTTCCTCACGTAACCCCAGCTCCAGAGCAAGCTGCCAAAGCATCATTTCTTATTAGCGAGTTGTTTTTTCTAAAGGTCTGGGCACCGGGCACTGGACTTCCAAAGGCGTTGTGTTAGCAAGTTGCAAAATACATAATGTGATGCCATCTATGTTAAAAGTAAAAAAAACCTTATTTCTGTGTGTATACATGTATGTGTGGTACATGCATGCATGTGTGAATAAAATAGGTCTATACATTTTAAGTAAGTTTTTTCCAAGGGGCTGGAACTGGAGGATACATGTCAAGGGAACCTTTAGTTTTACTTGTATGGTTTGAATTTCTTATAATCTGTATGCGTTTTGTGTTGCTTACATGCTTGAAATAAGTAAATATTGTTATGCACACTTCCCTCCCTGCCCTCCGGAAACAAAGGAAGAGGTAAGAGAGGAGGTAAATTGGTCAGGGGCTGTCCCACTCACCTTTCCTCTTGGTGCAATGGTAAATTTGGCTGTGCTCCTGGGGCAGTGGGTATGGGTTGGGAGGGGGCAGAAGGTCCTGGGAGGGGCCAGAGACTCCATTCTCACACTGGTACTGGGACCCCAAGTTGGATGAGGTGGAGAGAGCTCGAGGCTCACTGCTGAAAGGACTGTGGTTCGAGGCCACTTTTTGCCTCACTGTGCTCCTGGGAACCACGGGATATTCTTTACTGAAAGAGAGAAGATGGAAAATAATGTTTATCAGTGCCCTGATACAGATTCCCCAACTGGCTGAACCATGGGTCCAAAAATCCACCAGAAAAGTCACAGAATAAGAAACAAAAGGGTCTTTGATGAAGTGATCCAGTTATACTTGTGTGCATCATATTCCATGGACATATATTTGGGCACCAACTTTTCATGCCTTATACATAAGGCAAGCAGGTTTCTGAATAGTTCTATATGCATGTAGAAAGGTTACACCCCTATTTAAAACTGCTCTTACTCTCTAATTCAAACTCAAAGAGCTCTTAATTAGCATGTCTGACCTAGTCTCAAAAGCAGATCTCCAGTGGAAGATGAACTTTTGAGACTGCAGCTGATAAGCAAAGGTAACAGAGACAGTATACAGTGGTGGTTAAGGGCACAGGTTATTGCATTTGCAGACCAGGTTTGAGTTCAAATTCTACCTTCAAGAACCACTGACACATTTTTTTAACCTTTCAGAGCCTCAGTTGCCCCATTTGTAAAGTGGGTTAACAATAGAACCTACTGAATAGTGTTGTTGAAAAGACTTGGTCTGGGACCTAGGAAGGGCACCGTTAAATATAATATAAAACAAAATCTTCATGCAGGAACCTGTGTTCCATGGGACATTTTTAACCTCCTCCTCATGCCTAAAGACGCAGACGTGTTTGCAGGCATCTGGTCTCCAGCCCATCCAGCAGCGGACGTGCTGGGAGTCAGGCCAGGGGGCCTGTTGGGGTGATATTGTTCAGGCCTTCAAGATCCCAGGAGTTTGGATGGGCTTCAGGTAAGTCTGGAAGTCAGGCCTCACCCAGGTCAGGTTTCCAGATTCATACTTAAACCAATGACAGCTCTTCTCTCCTTCAAAATGCAAGATTCGTAAATGTCAAATAGTCAAACCATGTTACTTTCCTCACGTAACCCCAGCTCCAGAGCAAGCTGCCAAAGCATCATTTCTTATTAGCGAGTTGTTTTTTCTAAAGGTCTGGGCACCGGGCACTGGACTTCCAAAGGCGTTGTGTTGGCTATTGCATCTATGAAGTACAACAGGCCACTCTTGAGACTAAGATTTGGGCCTTTCACAGCAAAACAGCTACTACTTACTGAGTCAACCCTGAGTCAACACATAATATGCGTGATTTTGTGACATCTTCCTGCTGAGCCTATGAGACAAGTCCTAACATGAGCTCAAATTTACAGATTTTTTTTAAAAAAAAGCTTAGAGAGATTAGGTAACTTATCCCTATCCACAAAAAACTTGCAAGTTGTATGGTGGAATTCATCCTGATTTTCTGGTGCTGAAGACCACATATAAGTTCTAGTCTACACCATCCCTCTGTATCCATCTTTTTGATCCCTCGCCTAGATGAGCAGCTTTCTCTCTGCTTCCTCTGGGACTCACTTTCTGGAGTGATAATCTGCCACTTATCCCATACCACCTGTTGGGTGCTTACCAGGTATCAGATGTGCTAGGGAACTTACCACCATTTACAAAGTCCAACACTGAGGCTCAGAGAGGCTAGAACACCTGCCTAAGGTCACATAAAGAGTCAACAGCAGAGTTGAGATTCCAACCTGTGTTTCTCTAGCCCTACTGCCCACACTCTCCCCACGTGCCCATCTGTAGCTCACACCAAGCAATCATTCTAGTGAGTTGAACTCCATCACACCACCCTTGTCAACCACTTCAATTCTGTCTTGCAAAAAAAGGCCACCAGAAATTTCTTTTTTTCACATAGCTCCTTTGGATTTAGGTGACTTAGGAAAAAACCATTCATTCTTATTTGGCTAGGAAAACTATGCAGTGCCTCAGACACCAGCTTAGTAGATTTATAGAGGGGATGAGAAGGGGGGAAATTGCCTGTGGTGTGGTGTGTGTGCGTGTGTGTGTGTGTTTGTATATGTGTGTGTGTTGGTTTTGATCTGGAAAGGAAAGAAGAGTTCAGAATCCATCTGAGAGAAACTCTGGCAAAACATACCAAAGAGTCATCTACAATCACAAGGAGGTTCCCTACATCATGGCTTGCAATACAACTTCCCTGTCCACTGGTGAAGGTGGCATAATAAACTCCACTTCATCTTTTCTAGGCAATACTTCCTCTTCCATGGCTAAACAGAAAGGGAAACAGGTCTATGTTCATGAAAGGATACTTAAAACACATTCTAAAGTTAAAAAAAAAAAGCAAGTTGCAAAATACATAATGTGATGCCATCTATGTTAAAAGTAAAAAAACCTTATTTCTGTGTGTATACATGTATGTGTGGTACATGTATGCATGTGTGAATAAAATAGGTCTATACATTTTAAGTAAGTTTTTTCCAAGGGGCTGGAACTGGAGGATACATGTCAAGGGAACCTTTAGTTTTACTTGTATGGTTTGAATTTCTTATAATCTGTATGCGTTTTGTGTTGCTTACATGCTTGAAATAAGTAAATATTGTTATGCACACTTCCCTCCCTGCCCTCCGGAAACAAAGGAAGAGGTAAGAGAGGAGGTAAATTGGTCAGGGGCTGTCCCACTCACCTTTCCTCTTGGTGCAATGGTAAATTTGGCTGTGCTCCTGGGGCAGTGGGTATGGGTTGGGAGGGGGCAGAAGGTCCTGGGAGGGGCCAGAGACTCCATTCTCACACTGGTACTGGGACCCCAAGTTGGATGAGGTGGAGAGAGCTCGAGGCTCACTGCTGAAAGGACTGTGGTTCGAGGCCACTTTTTGCCTCACTGTGCTCCTGGGAACCACGGGATATTCTTTACTGAAAGAGAGAAGATGGAAAATAATGTTTATCAGTGCCCTGATACAGATTCCCCAACTGGCTGAACCATGGGTCCAAAAATCCACCAGAAAAGTCACAGAATAAGAAACAAAAGGGTCTTTGATGAAGTGATCCAGTTATACTTGTGTGCATCATATTCCATGGACATATATTTGGGCACCAACTTTTCATGCCTTATACATAAGGCAAGCAGGTTTCTGAATAGTTCTATATGCATGTAGAAAGGTTACACCCCTATTTAAAACTGCTCTTTAACAATCAATAAACACAGGTGGCATTTTGAAATATTTCAGTGTAGTCTATATGTGTTTGAATGCCCTAATTCAAAAGCTAGATGAGCTGGGCTATTATTTAGACTTAACCTCCAAGCATCCATCTGTAAAATGGGGCTGAGGTCTTTGCCCAAAGTTAGTTAGGAATGGTAGCTGACAACCTTGGATAGTCGGGTGTGAATCTAGGTTACTCTAATCTGGATAGATTGCTGCTTGTGCCTTAGAATTTCCTTTTGAGCTGCTGACCTGGTCCCCACTAATGTACTTAAGTTCTCTGTGACTTGGTTTTCCCATCTGTAAATAAGGAAAATAAATGTCCCCAGTTCAAAGCATTGCTGAAAGAAGAGATGAGTTAATTGTGAAAAAGACTTAGAAAGGAACATGACACATAGTGAGTACTCAACAAATGGCAACCATCTTCATTATTGTTATTATTTGGGGGAGAGTAGAGGGAGGGAGAAAGGAGAGGAAAAGAGAGCAAGGGAAGGTAGAAGAAGGAAGAGCAAAGACTAAGAAGTTAATAAACAGAGCATGGGATCTAACATAAAGCAGGTCCAAACTTGGGTCCCCTCTCCCTCACCTGTAGACTGTGTGCTCATCTGAGATGCAACCTTTCTGAGCCTTAGCATTCACACAGGTAAACTGAGCACGATAAAAATTCAATGCCATCATGTGACTAGCATCCCCCAAAGTGCTCAAAATCTGGTTCCTCATACTCTCATGATTGTTCTTCCACATTCCCTTATTTTCAGCTTTCATATCAGGTATCCCCATTATTTTTCTCAGAAGGACTTGGAAACATCAATGGAAACCTCTCCTGGGAAGAAGGGGAGCGGAGCTAAGCAGCACTGGAAACTCCAAAGGAAACTAGGTGGAAACTAGGTGGGTAGGAGGTTGTGGAGCAGTTGAGAGCAGATTAAAAATAAAAGAGACAGTGGAGAGAAAGAGCCTGCTGTGCAAGAAGAGAAGAGCCTGGCCATTGCATTCCCATACCCATCAGGGGGCAGGGCTGCCAACATTTGGGATGGGTAGAGGGAATCTTGAACAGGGAATTTATAAAGTGCATATATTGCTATATCCCATTTAAAAGATATTTTCATGTTATGCTTCAATATAATTAGTTTTCTTTATAACCTATGTATTTTATTTTATGCATTTAATCATATTATTCTGAGAAGTGATCCATAGGCTTCTATACAACAGATAACCCCTGTCCTACAAGGAATTACTGATAAATTCCAAATTTCAGTCATTTGTGATTTTACTGTGCCCCAGAGCCATCTATTCTTTAAATTATCATATCTTTTAAAATTAGTTTCTTATCTAAATAAGCATAATCTCACTATAAACAATAGCATCTGTGAAATTAGGAGCTTGTGGTGTTATAGTTCCTCTAATGCAATTAAAATGGATACTTAACTGTTAACCTGAAATCATCTCATGTACAAACAGCTACACATAAGACATTTTGAAGAATGCCGCATTAGCCTATTTTATCTTTTCTATGACCCTACAAGGTAGGTATTGTTTTTGTTCCCATTTTACAGATTAGGAAACTGAGGCCCAGGGAGATTAAACAACTTGCCTGAGTTCACAGAGCTAGAAAGAAACACAGTCAGAATTCTACCCCAACAGTTCCCTAATCACTTCTATACAGTCTCCTAGTTACTTCTTTTAATTTTAAAAACACAATATGTTTTTTAAGAGAACAGGGGTTTGAGGCCCAAGACTCTCTTTCTACTTCTCCTACCCCTCAGGGGTGTAACCAACTCCACCCTGTGCCCCTGCCTTTGTTTGTCATGTGAAAGCACGTCAGAGTGGCCAGGCAGGGGACACAGGGTGTCTGCCAAGTTTCCATGAGGCTACAGACACCCTCACGACACCCAAGGGTCTCCGATCCGAGCCTTCCTGTGGCATCTGCCATCCCAGAACCAAGGCTGGACCCACCCCAAGCAGGCACACCAGTCAGAATCTCTCCCTGGGGCCAGGAGACTGAAAGAAATGAAATTAGCTTTATAGCTCTTACTTGTGGTTCAAGCTATGTAATGGAAAAATAGAAGAAGAAAAATTATAATAATAATAAAACATAAAAGTTGTCAAATCTCGCCAGCAATGCCATTTAGGTCTGCTTAGTTCAAGTACTGGACGGTCAGAGCTCCAATAGAAAGGGGGAAATCTCTTTTGGTTTTATAGTTTTAATGGGGACAGTTATTTTTCTTTTAATTAAAGAAAATAACCTCCAAAAAATGTTGGCCAAGAGAATTTACAAGGGAATGTATCAATGGACTCTGTGGAATTCTCCATTCCAGCACTGCCAAATTGCAAAATTACTCTCTGGAATGGCCAAATCCTGCTTTTGATTACTGACACTCACAGAAGTGGGAAAGCAATATTATTCCAATAACCACTTGCCCCTCACAGCTTGTTTCTCTCCAAGGAACTTGAAACATCATCCCCATCACCATGAACATCTCTTTTAGTACCTGAAATATGAGGTCCCTGAGCCCATTTGACAGGTGCCAAAATATGAGCATGGAAGGTTAAAGTCACTTCCTGATCAGTACGGGATTATAGAGGCAAAAGGAAGAAAAGGTTGGAATCAAACAACAGTGGAGTGATTTTCACTGGGCTCATCAATGGATCAAAGGAACAATCAATCAAAAGAACACGGTTAGTATCAATACAGCAGAAATCTCTGAAGTCCTTGTGATGAGAAGATAAACTATATTCCTCTGCAGCATAAAAGCATCAATGAAGAAGCGAGGGCACGAGAGAATTGAAGTGAATGCTGAAGAGCTTTTGCGTGTCTGGGAATACAGACAGCCACCGAACACGGGCTGGCTTTTCATCTAATCATCTTCATCCTCATCATTTAGACTGTTCTGTAAGTGCCTCCTAATGTTCAGCCCCTGTATTGGTTGACTAAACAGTAGTCCCCCCCTTATCTGCAGTTTCAGTTTCCGTGGTTTGAGTTACCCTCCCAGTCAACCATGGTCTGAAATAGTAAATGGAAAATTCCAGAAATAAAAAAATTCATAAGTTTTAAATTGTGCAGCATTCTGAGTAGAGCAATGAAATCTTGCAGGGAACATAAATCATCCCTGTCCACTATATTCCTGCTGTGTGCACTACCTGCCCGTTAGTCACTTAGTAGCTGTCTAGTTTATCACAGAAGAAAAACATAGCATATATAGGGTTTGGTATTATCCATGGTTTCAGGCATCTCCTGGGGATCTTGGAAAATATCCCCCATCAGGGGAGACTACTGTATATGCTTTCCCTCATTGATCTTGACAAGAACTTCATTTCATGGGTACAGATTATATTTATTTTAGAGATAAGAAAATTCAGGCTCAGAGAGGTCAAGCAACTTGTTCCAGATAACACAGCTAAGAAGAGATAAAGTTGTGCTTCACCCAGGGTTAGTCCTATTCCAAAGCTCTTGCCTACTAACTTATACTCAGCAATAGGGAATTGTTGCCTGCACACCAACTGCTTGGCAAATACAACCATCCGGTTATATAAAAAGCATGCTGGTGATAACAGAGTTGGATATCGGCTATACTCAGACAACGTCAAAATCTGCTGGTCAATTCTATTTGCGGAATCTTCTGTTTACCAAATCCTGCTGCTCTCTGCTGTATCAACCAGCTACACCCATATCCCATGTATCAAGCTCCAGTCAGAGTCGGGGCTCATCAGACACAAGTCGGGGTCCTGAGTACCCTGGGGTCCTGGCTCACCCTGGGTGTCGGAGCCTGCAGACCAGCTCCTCCCTGGCTGGGCCCCTCTCACATTCTGTTCCACGTGAGCGAGTGCAATGAATGACGCCATTGTCACCAGGTCTGGGTTGTAAAACATTACAAGGGAATATTGAAATCCATGGCCAAACTGCATCCTCAGCAGGCTAACGAACACCCCTGAGAACGTTTTCCACTATAGCCGACTGAATTGGCCTTTTCACAGGAGCAGGTGGCAGGGGTGCTGGTGTGCTGGGGTTTTTGTTTTGTTTTGTTTTCCCTCGGTGATGCTTACCCAATTTCTGGCAGCCTTTTTCAAACAACTAAAGCAGTGCACTGGGGCAAGGCAAGGGACTGTAAAATCCCTGTTCTTGGGGAGCAAATTCCTCTTCTCATGAGCACTTTAATCTGCGATTAAAATTTTAAAAGTGGCCATACAACCCCTTGAGAGCTTTCCCAATTTATTAACTTTCTAATACACTTGGGGAAGTTATGCGTGGACACAGCACAGACGAGGGAGGACACACCCCAGGTGGGAATTAGCCCAGGACAAATAACACAGAGGGCTGTACTCAGTTCACACCACGCCAGCAAGCTGGACAAGGGCCTGGTACCATCTTGCAGGTGAGAACAAGGGGCGCAAAGAGATTATAAAAATTTCCCAGTGTCGATCCAACCAGGGATGTATGATTTGAGGGGTGCTGAGAAACTCAAGGACCCCTTTCTCTCTGACCTTGAGCACCCACTGCTTATAACAACTGGTTTGAGGTCTTTGGTCCCCCTTGTAAAACTCTAATAATATAATACTCTGAAGTGGGGCTGCATTCCTTACTTTAGTGCCCAGCCACAAACTTAGCCACTGTGGTGCTGGTGAGGTTCATCCTTTCTTTCAGCCTCAGTGTCCTGTCTATAAATGGGATAATCAGAGCAGCCACCTCTTGGGGTTATAAAATGATACAACGCATGG